AAGGCCCATTTTAGAGAAGAGGGAACTGAGGCTCAGGGAGGTGGGCTCACCTGCTTGAGATCTCCCAGGGATCTCACTGTGGGGGCTGGGTCTGGAGCCCTGAGCTCCCAGTGCCATTTGTCACTTCACTAAGCTGCCACAGTGTGTGACAGGAACAGAATCAGGACAAGGAGAAGGAGAGGAAGGGAGGGTCCAGTGGAGGAGATTGGTTTGGTTAGCAGATTTTTTGTGTTTTTGCTTTCATAGTCTGGGAACAATCCGGTCTCCTACTTCTAACTTTCCATTTGTTGTGGCGGCGCCAGATTTAAACCTTGACTGATCCTTATCTGGGATTGGTATGCATCTGTGCGAGCAAGATTAATCATACTGTAAAGCTGCCATGGGAATTCCAGACAACCCAGCAACTACAGCATGAAGTGCAAGTGTGAACACAGGTATGTCACTGCCACACATGAAGGGCACTGGTCCTGGGGGCGCATGTGTGCAGGGAGTGGGCGCCTAATTCTCCTTCTCAATGCTCATTACTTCAGTCTAGGGAAGATAAATGATGGTCAAGGAGCCCTCCAGGCCTGGCGTCACCTGTAGCATTGATGCAGGCTCTTCCCTGACATTTCAGGGAGAGGTCACACACATTCCTGTACTCAGCAACTCTTTCCTGAGCACTTACTGTATGTTGGGCTCTGGGGACACAGCGGAAAACAATCCTATTGTAATGACACCATAGGGTGGGTGACAGGTGGTAACTACACTCATCGATCGCAGTGAACATTTCCTTTTTTTTTTTTAAGTTAATTTATTTATTGTGAGAGAGAGGTGGGGGCAGAGAGAGAGGGAGAGAGAGAGAGAGGGCCAAGCAGGCTCTGCCCTGTCAGTGAGGAACCCAATGTGGGGCTCGAACTCACGAACCGTGAGATCATGACCTGAGCTGAAACCAAGAGTCAGATGCTTAACTGACTGAGCCACCCACGGGCCCCTGAACATTTCATAACGTATATAATTGTAGACTCACTGTGTTATACACCTGAAACTAATATAACATCATATGTCAACTATAATACAATTTTAAAAACTAGAAAAAGGGGGGGAACAAAACAAAATCCATTCTGATAAAGCTCTCATTCTACTGGGGAGAGAGAGACAATAAAAAGTAAATACATAAATATGTAGTATTTCACTGGGAAGCGAGAAGGAAAATGCAGTGGGGAAGTGAGAGAGGCTGGGGGTGCCATTTCATGCAGGTGATCAAGGAGGGCCTTTCTGATAATGGGACACGTGGGCGGAGGCCAGATGAAGTGAGAGAGAAATCTACAGATGCTTGCAGGGGGAGGGAACTGCAGTAATAAAAGACCCAAAAGTAAAATGTGCTTGAAAAGTTCCAGTAACGGCTAGGAGACCTTCGAGGCTGGAGCAGGGGGAATTGAGATAGGGCATGAGGAAGCCAGGTCCAAGAATATCCCGGGACAGGCCATGGTGAGAGCCCCAGACTGCTCTGGGTATGATGAGGAGCTACTGGAGGAGGTGGCACAGAACGGCGGCAAGATCTGTGCAGGTTATGGAAGGATAAAAAACAGTGGGCTGGATGGAGGCAAAGAGGCCGGGAAGAAGGCTGCTGTAATCGTCCAGGGGACAGATAGTCCTGGATGGAGGCCTTGAGTCCAACTTTAGCTCAGGTCATGATCTCGTGGTTTGTGAGTTCAAGCCCCGCATCGAGCTCTGTGCTGACCGCTCAGAGCCTGGAGCCTGCTTTGGATTCTGTGTCTCCCTCTCTCTCTGCCCCTCCCCTGCTCACACTCTGTCTCTCTGTCCTTCAAAAATAAATAAACATTAAAAAAATTATTTTAATGGAGTGTGAAAGGAAAGGATGTTACCTATCAAACAAGAACTCGGTCATCAATTATTGAATGTCAGACTCTGGCATAGGCAAATGGGAAATGGATACCTCCTATGTGCTACTCTCTGTACTAGATCTTCATATGTCCCACTTCATCTTATAATAATCATTCGAAGTAGGAATAATGAGCCTGTACTCAGAGGAGGAATCTGAGGCCCAGAAAAGGTAAGTGATTTCTCCAAGGTCACACAGCCAATATGGGAGTGCTGGAATCAGAGTCGACAAGATGTCTAAGACCAAAGCCTGCTCTTTCCAAACCTCATTCTGGCTGGCTGAAGAGAAAATTATGGACAGAGTCCCTGCCCTCAAACCCTTCCCTGACTTACACAGCCCCATGAGGTCAGAACTGTTATTATTCCTCTTTTTAGAGATGAGAAAACTAATGCCCAGAGAGGTTAAGTGACTTGCCCGATTCACAACAGCCGGGAGGTGGCAAAGCCAAGATGCAAACCGTGGTCTACCCTCTCGTATCTTAACCACGACTCTGTGTCGTTACAGAACACAATGGTTTTGAATTTCAGTAAAACATATTGTTAAACTTCATTTACAGATAGATGATAGGTAAGAAAAGAACCAAGTCATCTATGCCCACCAGTACTCCAAGACTTCTTCATGAACACACATACACAGACCAGACACACATACATTTATCGACATGTATACATATATAGATAGATATGGACACACCCATAAAGTGCACGCATAGACAACATTCCAAAGTCAATTGCTTCCTAAATTAACCTCTGTTATCTGGGTCTCTGAGGAAGTTAAGTCAATTGCCCAATTATAATGAACTGCCAAAGCCATCTTGTCCATTCCCAAGAAGTACGCGGATGTAGTCTCCAAATTACTTCTTGAGGAGCCAACTGGAACACTGTGTTAACATTTCCTTGAGAAGCTCAGGGAAAGGGTGATAGTTGGAAGGTTGAAATGTCAAATATTCATCACTTAGCTCTAGAGGACTCCTCAAAACACCAGTCCCCAGGGCCCTGCTTCTCTGGAAATGCAGACTCAAATATACTGGTAATTCAATTCCAAACAAAAGGAGGAAAAAGTCTCCTGTTGAGAAGTGCTCTGACATAGGGAAATATGTGGAAGCTAAGTCTATCCTCCAACAGTCCTGAGTTCTAAGCCCGTTTCCAGTCCATCCCAGCTATGTGATCCCTAAAAGGTGACTGGGTTCTCCTATAAACCAAACAAGGAATATAATACCTACTTCTGAGCTGTCACGAGGATTATAAAAGGTTCCTTAAATAAAATGTCAAGCACACAGCTGATGTTGATGGAGGGCAAAGGTCGGAGTCTTGACCTTTCCCCTACAAGGTAGAGAGTCACTAACTCCCAACCAATAGAACCTATAATTACTATCTTTGGCCACCAAGGGAAGGAGTTTGAAAGAGGGGGGGAAGGGGGAAGCAGTCAGATGTTTTCATGCAGAAAGGCAGGCCCAGGCATCATTACCGCGTTGCCAGGTATTGTTAAGCCACCCACCTAGCCCCAGAGTGGGCAGCAATTAATGTAATTAGTGCAGTGATGAGTGTCCTCTGCAACGATAAACAGCTCAGTCCTGCAGAACTTGACAGACCTGCTGGTCCCATGAGGCTCCTGACCTTGAACGTCCACTTGGGGAGCAGTGTAGTACGGTTTAGTGGAAAGAGACAGGCTTTGAGTCAGAGGGAACCAGAAGTCAATCCTGTCTTTGCTAATTCCTAGCTGTGTGACCACAGGCAAGCCTTAGTTTCCTCATCTGTAATACAGGGTTAATAATATTTTCACAGGGTTGTTACAGTTCTCTCCATCATCATCGTCATCACCACGGAAAACCCCAAACCTGGCTGGTGTTGAACTGGCAAAAGGATGGACACGAACATTGCTGGTACCTGGAGCTGGAAGAGCCCGGTTCTTCTTCTCTGGCTAAAGTCAAAGTGTGCAACACTGATCTCACCGGCTTTAGGGAAACTGCTGGCGTTTGGAATGCAAAGCATATGGACACCTCGAATCAAACTGGAGGGAAAGTACTCCTTGATTTGGTCATTAAAGATAATGTTCTAAATAATCACCACAAGTATTAGCAATGCCACCACTTGCAGAGAACAAAAGCACCAAGGCAATCTGGCAGTTGGTAATAAAGCACAAAGCCTGCTTATGTCTTTGTATCTATATTATATTCTGTGCTAAGAATTAATACCCTCAACAAGATATCAAATAATCCAAAGGTCATTACCTGTATGTAAATATATGGGGAGGGTCTTGATAATCGTTAAGAATTCACTAATTTGTCCAACAGCTCCTAAGTGCCTGTTGCTACCAGGGATAAAGACCTTGAGTGCGGGGACACACACACATACAATTAGGATGCGTTAAAATGAAGGTTCTGAAAAGGTCTGTAGACTGAATCAAGAGGGAGGGATTTATAGGGAAACCACTCAGCAAAACTGAAGTACAGTCCCTGAGACTGACATGGCAGAGGACCACATGGCTTCTTGGAAACACGCATATGAAATGGTGTTAAATGAAAGAGCCAAAGAACAAAAGAGAACTAATCACAGGTCTCAGAGAATATCAAATCTAGGAAGAGCCTCACAGAGCACCCAGTTCTGTACTTCATTCAACCCTTTCCATGGGGTCTTGGAGACAGGTGAGGCTCACATATCCTAACAGTCTAGGCAGAGAAAACAATTTCTGGGTAATAACAATAAGCATTTCCAGCTGCTCGCTGTCACACCACTGTTTTCTCTCCCTCTAAAGAAAGCTTTTCAGTAGACCAGGGAGTAGGCTGAAGCTATCAAAGGAATAACCTTGAACCCACTCTGATTTGTTTAATAAAGTGGAGGTTGAGAGTCAACACTATAGTTGAAAAGCAATGGTCCGGCCCAGGCCTTCGTGCTATTGGTGGAGAAGCTGAGGCCCCGAATGACCCATCTAGCCTGTAATCTAGCACATACTTCTTGCTCAATCGGTATTCACTGAATGAGGATTCGTGAATGAATAGGCAAATGAGATGGCGTGACCAAGTTTACCCAAACTGTACGTGGCTGGTCACATGTACTGATTAAAACTTAGGGACTGGGAGTGAATTATTTATCTACCTATCTATTAACTATGTATTTATAACATGGAATGCTTCCAAATTTGTGTGTCATCTTGCAGCGGGGCTGTGCTAATCTTCTCTGTACTGCCCCGATTTTTGTATATGTGCTGCTGAAGTGAGCACTGGAATTTGGAATGTGGCACCTAGAAATCCATGTTCATTATGTTTCCTTTCTGTGTTTTGCTCAAGTGTAACCCGAGAACTAAAACAACCGCCCAACAGACGTGGCGGTGTAGAAGGAGCCACAGAGTCTGGAAAGGCATGGAGTTCTAGAATCTTTGGGATGTGGATGATACCAGTGTCCAGGCTCCCGTGCTTAAAAGCCACATCTGAGAGCTCCCCATACCGTAGACGTGTTAACTGACCAATGGAGAACAGAAGATCTTTTAACAAAACTGACCCAGTGCAGAGCCCGTAGAGAAAGTCCTCAATACCTGATCATTGGTGATGGCTCTTTCCTCTGCCAGGAATGCATTTCCCAAACCACCCTCCTTTCCCAGCGTCAGCTTTTACATCGCTTATGCTGTAGCCCCTCTTTAGAGAGGCCCTTTCTGATCATCCTCTTTAAGAAGATCCCTGTTTTTCTTCTTTAAACCCAGAAGTATATAGAGATCTTCCAGGTCAATAGCTCAATTATCTCTCAACCTCCCCATCAGGTAACATTCACATACTCTATTAGCTACACCCCAGGGAAAACATAGTTCCAGGTTATAGGCAATTCCTACCTCATTTGGTTTTTTTTTCACTCATAACACTTACTGCTTACTGTGATTTCATATTTATTTATTATCTATATAGAGCAACTATAATACTGGTATTACAGTTAATGCTCATTGGGTGCTTACTAGGGCAGGTACTCATCAATTCATCTAATATTCATAACAACCCTATGAAATAGGTTCTGTTATGAGCCTTATTTTACAGATGAGGAAACGGAGGTTCAGAGAGGAGTCTGGCCGAATTCATATAGTGTGTAAAGGACAGAGCCCAACATCAGCTCCCAGACGATCTGGTTCCAGAGCTTAAGTGCTTCACCTCTAGGCGGTATAGAAACACCATGAGGGCAGACTCCATGTCTTTTTCTGCCCACCGCTTCATTCCCAGGACTTTGTCTATGTGTGGTATGGGATAGGGCCTCACTCAATATTTGTGGAAAGAATGAAAAGAAAGGAGGGGTGAGGGAGCAAGGAGGGGTGCACTGAGGAGGAAGATAAGCCACTAGCCCCTCCATGCTCTTCTTTGGGTAAAGTAGGGCCAGGACCCACTGAGGAGTCCCCACCAAGCAACAGAGATGCTGGAGACAGAGCTGAACGAGACACTGGTCCTGTCCTGGCCTCCATCCTCATCTCAAGGTGTCCATTGGTTCTGAGGGAAGTCTGGGACCAGGGCCCTTCCCTGCCCTATGAAAAAGGGTTCAGCTGTAATGCAACCATTCCGCTTCAGGGCCCCACAGCAGTGAACATGACAGAGCCCTCTCTCAAGGGGTCACAGGCTAGTGAGGAAGAGCAAGCCTGGAACTGAGGAGAGGAGGGGAAGTGGACCCGTCAGACCATGAAGGGAGGGAAGGAGGCACAGGGGGAGAGTCTCTGGACCTCTGGAGGTCTCTGCTTGCTCAGCTTGTGAAGCCTAGGACTGGGGCAGACTCTTCATAAAGAACTGCACCCCTCGCCCTCCACATCAGTGTATGTGGGCAGCCCCGCTCTACTCCATGATTCTGTGACACATGTGACATGAAGAGAAGCTGAGACTGCTCACCCCAGAGGAATGACAACAGTATAACAAGCAAGCCACCTTATTTCACAATGGTTCTGTTCCACTGAGGAACAACAGTGGAGCAGAAACCACTGTACCACACAGGGACATGCATACAGAGCCCGGGGTGCCTGGGTGTAATGCCCTTTCACCTTCCAGCCTCCCACTGGGCTGTTCGTCCACATCCTCTTTCTTAAAAGAGCTAATTGCATGGTGTGCCCCTGTCTTTAAGTATCTACCCACATCTCCCTAACTCAGCAGCCTCCTCTCTCCCTTATGCCTTCCATCAAGCAACCTTCACCATTTTTTAAAAATTTTTACTGTTTATCTATTTTTGAGAGAGAGAAAGAGAGAGAGATAAACAGACCTCGAGAGGGGAAGGGGCAGAGACAGAGGGAGACATGGTATCTGAAGCAGTTTCCAGGCTCTGAACTATCAGCACAGAGCCCGATGCAGGGCTCAAACTCACGGACCACAAGATCATGACCTGAGCCAAAGTTGAACGCTTAACCAACTGAGCCACCCCAGGCACCCCTAACCTTCACCAGTTTTAAGGTCAAGTCCTATATTTGTTATAATGTATGTGTGTATATATTTATTTATTTAGTCAAAATTTAACAGGTCTTTTTAGCACTATTATTTCCATTAGGATATTTAGAGTTTTATCTTAGCATTGTGGCTATAATATTGTACAGATTATCACTGACAGCCTCAAGCCTATTTTTACCAAAAGTTCTGTTATTTTTAATGTACAACTTTGCAGAACGCAAAGCTTTTCAGGAACATACATGTCACATTAGAACAGAAATGCCTGTATTAATGCACCAAAGGCTTTCCCATCTGCCTAAGTGGCAGATGAGGAAACTGAGGCCCAGAGATGTTAAGTGACTCATCCAAAGGCTATGAAACAAGACTTGAATCCAAAAGCCTTTGAGTCCATTTACCCAGTTTTCACTGTACCCACAACAGTTAGCATATTTCCTAGCAATATGGTAAACAATTGATCAGTAAGTTATTCAAGGAACAATTAATACCTCCAACAGATCATTCATCTATCTAACAATACGGTCCATGAAAGCCATTTTGAAAAAATAAATGAGAGAAAGAAGAAGGTAGCTACATTTTTTGAACTCCTACTGTAAGTCAGGAATGATACCCAATGTTTTCTGAACACACGTACACACATCAAACAGGCACACAGAGACGTACATGTTATGAGCTGTCTTTTTTCCATTTTATACATGAAAAATTGATGTTCAAAAATTTAAGGAAATTGCACAAGATTATACTGCTTGGAAAGGAAATGTACTGAGATTTTAACCCAAGTCTTCTTGATTCCAAAGCCCATACTTTTCCACTAGATTGGTGGAGAATGCCTACCTCCTGTAGAATAAGAGAATACGTTCAGTGGTATAAGGATAAATCTGTTTATTTTAAAGACTATATATTTATTTTTCTATAATTTTACAAAGGTCTAAATGCTTATGGCCAGTGATATTTGTTATCGGTTTACATTTGTAATACATTGTCTCCCATAAAAATATCTTTAAGTTTTAAGAAAGTAAATCTCTTTAAAGGAAAAGTATTAAGATCTGTATGTGGATATAGCGAAATGGAAAAAGTGATGGGTAAATCACTGAAATTTGAGGAACACAGCTTTTAATCCTAACAAGGCCCTTAATAAAACATTTTCCTTGTGCAATTGATTCCCCTGAGCTAGATCAGCAGATATTTTCTAAATTACCTCGAATAGAAAGGAAATGAAAATAGGCGTGATTCCCTGGCCAGTGTGTTCAGGAATTTAACATGGTGCTCTTTATTCCAGTGTCTATACCAGTTGGGGTTTTCTTCGCAGAACTCAGAGGTCATTGGTCGAAAAAGTGCTTGGGTTCTCCTAACACAGAGGAAGCGGTAGAAAAAGAAGACACTATATTTTTTTAAAGAGAGTAATGGAAGTTTCAGGGCTTGGTGAATATTCCGGAATGATCCACTCACTTGATGCTTACATTACACAGAAAGAAGAGTAAAAAGCCCTAGGCCTCCTCTAGACACCTGCATTTCAATCTCATCTTAGCCACTCATTTAATGTGTCACTTGCATAAGTTGACAGCTGGGGGCTCACTGTTCCCACTAGCTAAATGAAGGAAGTTTGATTTCCATAACTACCTTCCAGCAACGTGAGACACGCCCGATCGAGAATAACTACCACTGGGGAAAGCAGCTGTCCATGTAAGTTAGAAGCCTGCCATGGACACTAGAGCCCTTCCTGCTCCAAGAATTGGTGATTTCATGACTTAAGCTCGTCGGACTGCAGATGACCATACAATAGCAGGAGTGCACACAGGGGACCATTAAAGTCTCTGAATTATGCTTAGACTGTCACACCGCACACCACAGGCTGCATACGCCAAGCTGGTATAAATGCCAACCAGCCCTTCTAGGCAATGAGTACCCTGGTTCATTAAATGCCCATGTTCATATGGACTATGCTCATTATAATGATAAACATGGAGTTCTTATTTTTAAGACATGTTTAATGTAACTTTGTAACATACTGAACACAACTTAAACTTTCCCGGCTAGGTATTCTTTTCCTCCCTTTATTGTTATTCTTATACCTAACAAAGCAATGAATGTTGATTGTAGTAGATGGCTACACAGCAAACATTCATTATCTCCTTTCACAAACTCCACGACCTCCCAGCTCCACTGATATTGGACTTGACCACATGACTTGCTTCAGCGAATAGATAGAAGGCAAAAACGAGAAGATAGCGGGTCTGAGCCTAGACCTTAAAAATCTTCCTGTGGTTCTATTTGCCCCAACCCCTGCCTAGATCCCTGATAGACTCTGCCTCTCTAGGATGGGTTCCAGAATAGGACACGTAAAGTGGAACTGCATTGGACCCCAACGCTATTTCTTCAGGGTGTACATGAACACACACAGCAGGACACTATAACCATCAGTTCCAGAAAAAGCCACCATCACTACTCAGAACACTGCAGGCGAGGCACATGCAATGGAGAGAAGAGACCACTGAATGGGACCTTCGGAAGCATACGCCACCTCAGCTGACCTGCAGACGAATATGCAGGAAAAACTATACTGAACCTTGCAGAGCACTCTGATTTTGTTGTGGTTTGTTTCACGACAGACGCTGACTGATCCACCTATGGTGATGAGTGAAACTTTACAGAAGTCATATATTTTTAAAAAAGTAAGTGCAGACTCTTTAATCCCATCCTCAAAGAAGGCAGCTGGCAATAACCATTTGATACGTAACTTTCTACTCCTTTCTCTGGATTTTAGAAGGATTAAATGAGCAAATGCATGTGAAGAGCACTGAGCACAGTGATGGGCATTTGATGTA